AAGCTGGGGTACAGGCCAGAGGTGCGGAGGTGAGAGGCTTCACCAGAGACAGAGTGGGGAGCAGAACAGGCAGATGGATTGATGCACTGCTGCGGGGAGCCGTGGCGGGGGAGGGTCAGGAGAAGTCTGCTGCGCCATGGGGGTCACTCCCTGGCCGGGACTGAAGTGCTGCTGCAGTAGCTGCAGACAGCTTCATAGGGCTGATCCTTAGCCTCTTGCGCAGCAGGGAGGCCTGGAGCTGCCTCATTTAGAAGTCAATTCCTGGATCCAGTAGAACTGAAGCGCAGTGAGGAAGGGCCTTGTTTTTGTGCCCAGCTGTGGCCTTGCCTCCTAGCATGGCCACTGGCACACAGCAAGTATTTGCAGAATGACTCAGGGGTCTCGGGATTGCCCTAGGGCTTGAGCAGTGATGGGCCCCGGTGCCAGGCTTGGAATTTTTGCAGGGACAGCACTCCTTTAAAACCTTAACCTCCGGACAGTCAGCTTCCTTCCTGTCGCCTTGGCTTCCTAACGCCTTCCCCAGTGCCAGAAATCTCGGCAAGTGGCAGTCACAGAATACTAAGGCGCCTGGAGGGAACTGCCAGGGCTGGGCTGCGGGGTGTGCGTCCCTCAGGGGGGGCAGGCAGAATGCACCAGGCAGCAGGCGGATGCTCTGTGGTAGAGACAAGTCTCCTCTGCCTACTGGGGGCTGGGCATCGGAACTGGGGACCCTAATTTCCTCTTAACACCCCAGTTCCAATAGCCAGAGAACCATACTTTGCAAAATAGCAGTTTGGCTCTAAAGACAGCAGGCAATGCTGCTTCAAAGGAAATTCTCCACTGCTTGAATCTCAACGCAGACAAAAGGGCATTCTCACATCCTGTTGTTTCCTGTCAGTCTTCAGGTGGCGACTTAGGTTTACAGCAGATCTTTCTCTCATAATAACTTATCAAATGTCTCAAAGAACAGCTAACGCACTTTAATTTTTTGACATCTTGCCACCAAGTGCCCTGAAGCTCCAGCTTTTGGACACCCGTGCTTGGAGCTTGAATTAATGACAGTTGGTACTATAAGAACTGTGTGTGGGCAGGTCAGGGGAACTCTGGGACCCCTAAACCTGCCTGCTTTAAGTAGGTTTTGCTACCTGCCACATCAAAACAAAACGTAAGCAAGCGTTAAGGACTTCAATCGAGGCCCTCAGCGGTGCAAGGGCCACAGCCACCTCAGCAGGAATCAGATCCCCCACCCGGGGGGTTGACCCAGCAGGTGAGTCAGGCCTCTCCTGACCCGCCCGCTGCTCCCTGCAGCAGTGTATTTTGGTCAATCCGCCCGTTCTGCTCATCACTCTGTCTGGTGAAGCCTCTCACCACCCTTGTACCTCTGGCCTGTACCCCAGCTCTATATGCAAAAATAGATAAATAAATAAGAAAAGATTTATTTCTTTATGCATACAAAAACTGGGGAACAGGCCAGAGGCGGAGGGGAAGTGACAGGATTCACAAGAGGCAGAGTGGGGAGCAGAACGGGCAGATCGACCAAAATACACTGCTGAGGGGAGCAGTGGGTGGGTCAGGAGAGGTCTGCCGTGCCCTGTGGGTCACCTCAGGGCAGGGATCAAACTTGTGCTGCAGTGGCAGCAGATAGCTTCATAGTGCTGTGCTTTAACCCACTGCACCAGCAGGGAGAGCCCAAATAAATCTTTTTTTTAAATTAATACAATCATTGTGCCATAAAGAGAAGAGAAAAAATAGTTTAGTATCCTCATGAAACACCCAAACTCACCCAGCCCCTCACGGGTACATGCCCACAAACAGACTGGCCCAAAGCAGGGCCTCTAAGGCCTGGAAGCTCACGCATCCAGGCACCTCCTGGTGGGGCCCACAGGAGAGGGCCAGGGGGGCAGGCGCGTCTGGAAGGAAAAAGCAAAAGCAAAATCCGACAGAGGCTGCCACTGTCAGCCTCCCCACGGGCCTCTAACACGCTTCTCCGTCCACGTGCCCACGTCCCTGGTCAAGTCCGAGGCCGAGGAGCAAGCACAGCTTCTTCGGTCTCTCTGCTCCTCCAGTCTTCCTTCCCCAGCTCTGTGCCTCTCCCTCCTCCTAATAGCTTCTCCCGCTAACTCTAACGCGCCTCACTCGCAGGAGTCACTGAAAACCACCAACTTCCCGGCACAGGATGGGGGCGCTTCACAGTGCAGTCTCTGACACTTTGAGGTCTACCATTTCCATTTGCAAATTCACCCCTCTTGCTCATATTGGGGATAATTAGGCCGCCTTCTGTTGGGGACATCAGAGGGAACGCCCCATGATCCTGCATCCTGGCACTGAATCAGCTGTTTCGTACCATCCAATACTCCCGGTAAGGTGCTATTCTTCTAGTTTGAATGCAAAGGTATGTTGGAATGAAGTGATTTCGTGACAGGCCAGTCAGGCAGCCCACATAGCCAAGGACAGGAGTGTCCAGGTTCTGTTCTCTGCCCTTTATCCCAGCAGTTCCCTCATGGCTGCTGCTTGTCTCTCCCCAGAATGCCCCGACTCCTCCCCTGAGGAGGACTCTGAGGCTTAGTTTGGGTCTGTTTCATTCCATCTCCTCCTTCCTTCTCATCTCCATCCCTGAAGTCCAAATGGCACAGGTAGGGAAGTAACAGGAAGCTGGCAGCACTGATGTGTTTATAATGTCATGTGCCAGCGTGTGGCTTTCATGCTTCTCCACACACATGTGCGTTGCTTTGACCTCTTTCCAGGGAAACTGCAGCCCAGATAGGTGGTGATTCACCACCACGAGGGACGGTGGTGGCTCAGGCCAGTCTCTACCGAAAACCTGCACACTCTCCATTCA